CCAGAGGTTGTTTCAGGGTTCAATCTGTGAGTTAGCCATGCCCTGACTTACATCAGTCCAGAGGTTGTTTCAGGGTTTGATCTGTGAGTTAGCCATGCCCTGACTTAGATCAGTCCAGAGGTTGTTTCAGGGTTCGATCTGTGAGTTAGCCATGCCCTGATTTAGATCAGCCAAGAGGTTGTTTCAGGGTTTGATCTATGAGTTAGCCATGCCCTGACTTAGATCAGCCCAGAGGTTGTTTCAGGGTTCAATCTGTTAGTTAGCCATGCCCTGATTTAGTTCAGCCCAGAGGTTGTTTCAGGGTTTGATCTTTGAGTTAGCCGTGCCCTGACTTAGTTCAGCCCAGAGTTTCATTAAGTTAGGTCTAAAAAGGGTAAGAATTAAAGTCGATGAAAAAAAAAATTCTCAAGGGTCTACTTTTTTCACCTCTATTAATAACCGTTTTTCCACTTTCACTCAATGATAGACGAAAAAAGTCGTCGATATATCTGTGAAGGTGCTTGCAAAGCATCGCGGTCTTAATTCTTTCCAACGAGAAGAGCTCCATGAACGAGTGACGTCACAAGTTAGAAAAATGCTGGACATCGAGGATGAAGACAACAAGGATGCACGGCTGAGGAGACTGGAGGAGAGAATTGAAAAGAACATCGAAAAGTACAAACTGTCGGCAAAACAGGTGAAATTTTGTTTTTTAAATCTAATATACTTATGCTATATGCCTCATCTCTCGTGTACTACTTATTCGTAGGATTCTACCAGCTCACTAGATACACCGTCGGATGACTAGGCCCAATACAGGCCTAAACAGCTGTCCACGGTTTCTAGTTGGGCTGGCTCATTTTACGCGACTTGAAGTTGTGAAAGGCTTGTGTGGCACTCTTCTTCAGTCATTTCATTTAAGGCTCGTAATTTACTTATTACGCATGTTCTTATACGATTTCCGAGCCCATCCCACACGGCTTACCTTTCTGTCAAGCCTTAAGATACCCAGCTGCTTTTTTAGCTGGGTGTAATGCTCTCCAATCTATCTTGAATTATCTTGAATGTCAGGCTAACATGAAAATACAAAAAAACTACTGCCACATGTTCCATCGAGAAAAAGTATTATTTCTTTTCTCGTATTTTTACGTTAGCCTTACATTCCAGATAATTTTGAGAAGGGATCCATTACTTATGCCTTTTCGTTTTGCAGGTTAAGACAATCGAGGGGCTAATGGTCGAAGAAGAAGCAGTAGAAGAGGGCCTAACTAAAGAAGAGAGAGTGCGCATGCTCAAACGTGTGTACGCTGATGTCATTGATGATCTGCGGGCGCAAAGAAATGAACAGAAAATTAAACCACCAAACCTTAACGATGTACAATTGACAGCTATCAATCATCTGATACGACAGAAAGCCATTGAACTGCAACTGAATAAAGAAGAGGTATTCTATTAATATTATTGTGTGACAAATAAATGTCGTAAATGTTTTATTTTGTACGTACGTTAATCTATTTCTTGTTTGTACTGATTGGGTTTTTTTCCTGTAACTAAGATCAAAGTTCTGGGGCTGGCAATCTTGACTGCAGTAGAACATTTATCGAGGAACCTGAAACCAACACAGCAACCCCACACTGAAAGTATGTATAAATTATGTAATATTTCAAAGCCGACAATGAAGACTGGACGGGATTTCAAGTCTAAGCAATTAGTTCCAGTCCGAGGCGCAGTCAAGGACTGGAACTAACTGCGCGGACTTGAAATCACGTCCAGTCCGATATTGGAGGCTTTGAAATGACTTCTCATCTCATTAATTATTCGACTTAGAGTAACTGGAACAAAATTAATTCAGTCCTAGGACTGAATTAATTTTGTTCCAGTTACTAGGACTGAATTAATTTTGTTCCAGTTACTAGGACTGAATTAATTTTGTTCCAGTTACTCAAGACTGAATGCATTCCTTTCACAGCACTTTACCAGGTTTCAAGTAACATCATGTGACCCAAAAATAGCGCTTTGATTGGATGGTTTACTCATGCATTATTAATGAGTATGAGAATATTATTTCTTAATCATTTCTTTTCTTTTCTTTATTTTTCTTTCTTTGTTCTCTTTTAAGTTCTCCTCTCCTTCTCCTTCTCCTTCTCCTTCTCCTTCTCCTTCTCCTTCTCCTCGCTTTTCTTCGTCTTTTTCTTGGTATCTAAACTACTTACCTTTAATATAGTCAATAGGCTAAAATTAAAGAGTTATTAAACTTAAAGGCATTGAGACTTCGTGATGCCTATAAAAACTGCTATATTATTATTATTATTACTATTATTATTATTATTATTATTATTAAAAATATTACAAAATATTTATTTTGCAACACAGTTAATCCAGATGTAGCGACAGCTATTCCAACAACAACAACAAATAAATTGCCCACAACAATGAAAACTACTGAACAGAAAACAGTCAAGACAGAAAGTCTGGATAAACTTGTAAAGGAAGAAAAACTTGAAAATGAAAAGCCTACAAAACGAGTCACTCACCATAAGGATCCCACTACGCATGCTCAGAAAACCCAATCAATAATTAGTCAGCGGATTCCCACTACGCATGCTCCTGAAGCAAAACCAAAAACTAGCCAGCGAACAACTACGGCGCATGCGCATGAAACAAAACATAGGTCCACTCAGAAGATTCCCACTACGCATGCTCATGAAACATTTCCAAAATCTACCCAACCGAGCCCCACTGCGCATGCTCGTGAAACTAAACCAACAAGTCAGCGGAGGCTGGTAAAGGAAGGGACTGACCTCGACGCCAAACTTCTTCAAGATGAAGCTGAGCTTGAAGGAAAAGGTAAGAAAAATCCTGGGAAAGTCGCTATGTTGGATAAATTCAACAAGTCATTATTTGTTTTGTTGAGTTTGTTTTGTTAATTTTTTTGTGTGTGTCTTTTCTTGATTATTCGTCATTGTTATTTTACGTCACCCAGTCCTAACGACAACGTAAAAACTATATTTTTCTTTCGCTCAAGATTCTGCAAAAAATGTGAAAATGGACCAAGAAACAAAGGCTGAAGAGTTGGAGTTAATACTAGAACGAAGGGCACAAGACAAAGAGGAATCCCAAATGAAAACCAAGCAGTCGAGTACGATGGTTCCCACTTCAACCAAGGTCATTGAAACGACTAAATATCCTGATGAAGTTGTCACGAGTAAACCAACCGAGTCACGTCATACCACGCAAAGAGTAACGCAAGCGACTGAAAAGATAACCGAAAAGGCAAAGCCAACGATCAGAGCAAAGAAAATAACGAAGCCAGTTGCTAGAAAGGTTACATCGGTCACGCAATCTAAGGAATCTAAGCTTAGCAAAGAACGACTAGAAGAGGAACTCTTAGAGGGACACGTTCTACAACCTTCCAAAAGTCACGTTACGCAACCCAAAAATTACGTCCCAAAGGTAACACAACCCAAAATTCATGTCACAGACGAAACGCAACCCAAGAAAGAGCATATTACGGCTGCAAAACCAACTGAAGATTTTGCAAAAGAACTGAAAAATATCATTGAGAAAAAGCCGATTCATAGCCGTAAAAACCATGAACTTCTACAAGATGAAGTTGAACTTGAAGATCTTGAAATACGAAAGGTTTGTTTTGTTGTTGTTGTTGTTGTTCTCGTTGTTGTTGACGTTGTTGATGACGTCGATGTTGATGCTGATGTCATGGAGATGCTCTTGTTTGCTGAGGATGATGATGATGATGTTGTTGTTGTTTTTGATGATGTTGTATTTGATGTTATTAATGATGTTAGTTGATTATGATTTTTCTGTTGTTATTGTTGTTGTTGTTGTTGTTATTGTTGTTGTTTATCTTCGATGTTGTACTTGATGGAGTTAATATTTATGTTGGTGAGGATATTGTTGATGTTGTTGTAGTCGTTTTGTCGATGGTGATGGTGATGTTGTTGTTGTTGTTGTTAATGATGGTGTTTTCGTACATGTTGTAGTTGATGTCGTTTTTGATGTGGCTGTTGCTTTTGATGCGATGGACCTATTGAAGTTGTTGTCAAGGATGTTGCTATAGAGGAGTTTCACGGACACCATCATAAAGGGCAAGAATAGAAATATTGGCATACAACATGGCTGCCATGAAATTCCTTTTCACTTTAGAAGTGTTTCAACAATTTTCTTTTTGTGTTCATTTTAGAACAAGACGCAACATGACACAACTTTGGAAAACGAGCTCAAGCTTGCAGCGAATCTTTTCAAAAAGAAGGTAAACCTACATTACTGATTGGTTATCGCAATAGACTGTTTTCTCAAGGTTGCGTGCGTATCCAACTTGACGGGCCACAAAACTGAAAAACTCAAATTCAATAAAATTGAGAAGCCAATTTTATATTTAAAGTGGAGAATAATCGATTTTGTGAATTCTTATCGTAAAAAGTTTCACAGCAATGCATGATAATACTCGTGTTCTGGTATCGTGGCCCGTCAAGTTCCTTAAATTTGGATCCACACGCAACCTTGAGAAAACGGTCAATTGACCCTTCTTAAAAATTGTCTTTAATTCAAGGCTAACATGAAAATACAAAAGAAATGCCAAAATTCTATCGAGATTTCGCATTCAAGATACTTTTGAGAAGGCGGTTCATTCAATTGTGTTACAATTCGATCCATGCGACGCGTCTTCGTTCCCATTCTTCCCTATGACGCGGACAAGGTGTAATATATGGTCCTGGTTTCAATTTTTTTTTTTTTTTTTTTTTTTTAAAGAAAAAGCAAAACACTTTGGATGAAGAGCTAAATGAAGTCCTGAAAGCCAAGGACCTAGAACTTGAGAAATTAGAAGAAGAATTGGAAGGTTTGAAGCCTTGGTAAGTTTATTAGACTTTTTCCGAGCTAATAAAATACCGCTGCGTCCATTGATTGCAGACTCATTTACTCAGTATTAGCCTCGTATCAGTGTCTAATAAATGTTCACAAATAGACCCTTTGCATGTGACGTCAAAGCAGCTCGATCTGTGGGACAAAACAAAAGAATTCCAATCTCCTGAGAATTGGAACCTATTGTTTTGTTCACCAGATTGAGCTGCGATCCAAAGTGCTGCAAGGGGTCTATGCCAATGGTAGATTAAAGAATTCACAACTTCAACAAATAAAAACACCTTGACATTCCACGGAACTTGGCACTGGAACACATTGAACATTCTACAGAAATTCGACGTTATCTAGCCTTGAGCAACAGAGAATCTGAGACTTCATTTACTGATTTGCGCGTGGTGATTGGTCGATAGCCGGTCTTTAAGCCACATAATGTTTTCAGGTTGCTTATTATCGATATTCTAATCAATCATTTTTTTGGGTTTCAGATAAGTTCAAGCATATTGGCCACGTTTCATTTCTAAGATGCAGTACAGTTAAATTGTTTATTGCAAAAAATGAAAAGTATTTTGTTTCAAGTTTGTATATTTTTTTACGACAGTTTGCTTGTAAGTTAGAATATAATTATATATAAGTTATAGCTCTTCAATTGCTGAGTCCTAGACTCTGTAGCGCCTGGTTAACGTTTTTTAAAAAGAATAAAGATCCCTCAATCCTTCTCTTATTTGTCAATCTTCTTTAATTTGTCTATCGGAGAAAAAACCGAAACAAATATCAGCTTCTAAATTCCAATAGCGCAGCGCAGCCGTGACGTCATAAAAACGAAGACAAAGGCGAAATTCGGACAAACAAATTTACAAGTTTACTTTCAGCAGATAATTTTTACAGCCGATCGCAGTTGATCTTAGTTTACATGGGTTATTATTGTAACTTTAAGTAGAAATGATAAAATCGGTTCGTATAATCCTCGTAGCGGTTAAACAAAATGCAATGTTTGTCCGAATCTTTAAGCTATTTTTAGAATCAGCGCGCTGCGCTATTGGAACGAAGTGGAAGAAGAACCGCTATGTGGAACCACTGAAGTTAATTCCTATTTTATGATATTTTAGAACCAATAAATTCTACTGAGATATGTTGACATAGCTTTAATGTTTACCGATAATTTCAGAAAAAAATAAAAACGGTCAAAGCTTCATCGAGTTATAAATGCTTGAAAGCTGGTTCTATTAAACAATAACTGACGATTTTTTAGTGTTGTTTTTTTTTAATCATGCAACATGTTATTACATATTATTATGATATTTTGATTTATCTGCTGATTTTTTTAAATTTATTTTTCCTTTGTTATTGAACTATTTCATGCGGCAGTGAAAATATTTTACGACTTTCTTGGAAGGATACCAAATGCTGGTACGTCTGGATAAACAATAAAACAACATGTGTAGTGTAAAACATATATAAATGAAAAAACAGGAAGGGAAGAAGGAAGAAGTAAACAAGGAAATCTAGCAGGCAAGCAAACAAGAGAGAGAAAGCAAACAAGCAAGCAAGCAAGAGAGCAAGCAAGCAAGCAAACAAGCAAGAAAGAAAGAGAGCAAACAAGCAAACAAGCAAGCAAGAGCGCAAGCAAGCAAGAGAGCAAGCAGGCAAGCAATCAAGAAAAAAGAGAGAGCAGAGATAACTAGCTAAAAGCTAGTGTGAGCTGCGTCGGTGTTTCTAATGAAACAGTAATGATAAAAAGGTAAATTATACACCGTGAAAAGATGAAAAAACTACTGACGTTTCGGACGCTAGTCCTTCGTCGGAGAGCAAGAGAGCAAGCAAGCAAGAAGCACGTACACGTAAGAGACAAGAAGCAAGCACAAACAAGCAAACAGGCAGGCAAGAAAGCAAGAAAGAATAACGCAAGCAGAAAGCAAGCAAGCAAGCAAGGAAACAAGCAAGCAAGCAATGCAAGCAGGTAAGCAAGAGAGCAAGCAAGCAAAGTAACAAGCAAGCAAGCAATGCCAGCAGGGGTGCTAGGATGGAAGGAAGCAAGGATGGAAATAAGCAAGCAAAGGAGAAAGCAAGGATAAAAGGATAAAGGGAAAGATCTAAGGAATTTGCCAACAAAGTATTTCATCAGGTATTTCATCACCTTAAACGCATCCATACAGCTCCATCCTCATCGAGATGTGGGCGTACCATGTCTTTGGTCTGAGTCTGATGAACCTTGCGATGATAGGATTAAGTGCGTGCTTCACAACAGTGTTCTGGTCCGAGTTTCTTTAAAGGCCTTCCCTCCTCCGTAGCTTGCAAACGTTCTTCCATTCAAACTGTACTGCAATGTGTAGCTTTTCACCCACTGGCTTAAGTCTTGTCGGCCTTGTGTGGCAATGTGCGTAACTCTGATAGGTTGGCCGAAATCGACCTGCAGCCATTGGTTGACGTTGTTATGTCGAGCGGCCCAAGAACCAGCTTTTGATCCAGAGCTTTTCATGTCAAGTCTGGCTCTTGTGGGTGAGTAGTTTGGGTTATACATGGCAGAAGCGGTGATCTTTGAGTCAGGAATTGCGCCACTTTTCATTCCAAGGGGGGAGATGCAAAATGCCACAAATTCTTAGTTTCTACCGATATCGATTCGGATTTCGGATTTCTTACGTGTAAAATATAAGCTATATGTTACCATCTAGTTTATATTATCGATGTACGATGAAGACTAGCGTGAACGTGCCGTCGAAACGACAATTACACGACCACATCAGCAACGCTGTAATTTATATATTATCGTGTTTAAATAAAAGCCATTATTATTCAGCATTATTATTATTATTATTATTATTATTATTATTATTATTATTATTATTATTATTATTATTATTATTATTATTATTATTATTATTATTATTATATTTAAAAAACAACACAAATATTGAAAATTTCATCCTGGCTAAACACTGATACGTCATTGCGGGATTCCTGTGGAGGCGCGGTTTAATCAAAATTCTCGTGGCTCTTCTCAATCTCATTTGAAAATGTATTTAAAGCTTCCTTCTTTGTTCGCTAAAAAACTAACCCTTTCCTTAGTAACGGCGGTCGATTAAGGTAATAGTATTTGTAGCTATCTTATTTGTCTTTTGTTTATTATTTAATTCATATGCATTTGGCCTAGTTTGGCATAAATGTGTAGCTTTGTATATCTATATATTAGTGAACTATTTACCATTGAAACTCGCTTCTTTACTTGTTTCAGCTGTGTTTATTTGTGTAATACCAATACGATTGACTTGAAATAATCGGTCGACGTTTCTTTTGTTAGTTAGAACATGCATATGGAACGTAAATAAATATTATTTGTAACTCTAGCTGTCTTGCTTTTGCAGATTTCTTTCAATGGAACTAATTTATGGGAAAAGGACATCGAAGTGAATCGAGGTGAAGAAACCTCTACGAAGGAGACAGCCACCATCTCTGGACTTAACCCATCCACTCATTATCAGTTCCAAGTATCCGCTGAGACGGACTGTGGAGCTGGAAAGAAGAGTAAGATAACAACAGCAAATACAAGTGTTGATGGTTAGTAATATGAAAGAAACTTTTTCATGAGCAGCCATTCGCCAGAGAAAAAAAAAAANTATTATTATTGTTGTTATTATTATTATCATTATTATTATTATTATCATTATTATTATTATTATTATTATTATTATTATTATTATATAATATCGGTCGTCTGGTAACAGTATTCAAGTCCCCATAACCGTCTCAGATTAAAACCCTGCTTTTCCAAAACACATCTATTTGATTAGCGAAATCTCTATCACATTACCTCAAAGATGTATGGTTTTATTGAATATTAGGTACAGAAAGAGCTTGAGAAACACCAATGAGGGTCACTAGTAACGTTTAATTTGTAACTTACTGCGGGAACATTGGTCACAGGTGTATCGGCAAGAAATGATACTCCAGGTTGTCTGGCACTTGAACTTGGTTTTAACGCTTTGGCAGCTTTTAGTCGAGAGGCTGTCTGAACAACCTGAAACACGAAATGAAAAATTATTAGAGTGTAACCGCGTGGCTCAAAATAACTCGAGATATAAATATAAACAGCCGCCATATGTTGGTTGAACTAAGGCCCCGTCCGCACTATGCCGGATAAATTTGAATCCGAATTTTTATTTATTCGGTTAGGCCTACCGTCCACACTAGTCCGGGCGAGTCCGGAACAATTCTTCACCGAAAACGATTTTTTTCGAATACGGTCTCCAGAGTGGAACAATTTGAAAACGCCGGCTAGCCGTATTACTGGTAGTGTGGACGGAGAACATTTCTGAGCATGTGCATCGAAGCTGAAATTGAGCCCACGGTGAATTTTTAGCCTTCCCGCCATGTTCCCATGACAATAATGACGTCCTCGTATCCGAATTTTTTCGGATACGAGGACGTCATTATTGTCATGGGAACATGGCGGGAAGGCTAAAAATTCACTGTGGGCTCAATTTCAGCTTCGATGCACATGCTCAGATGTGCAATGAAGCGTTTTTGCCGCCTCTGATCGGACTAGTGTGGACGCGAAACATTTTATCCGTTTTCATGTGTGGACGGAAAACTTTTTTTTCGGTTTCGGTGTGAAAATTTCGGATTCAAATTTATCCGGCATAGTGTGGACGGGGCCTAACAGGAGAAGCTAACGAGGAATGCTTTATCATCGTCAACGTACTCGTATTAGCTTTAAAATTTTCTTTTTTCCTAGTTATAGTATCGTATCTTGTATCTTGTCTCAGGCCGAGCTTGTTTGGACTTAGAGTGTGTTCTCGGCCTGTGTAAAGTCGTTAAGTAAAAAAAATTTAAAATAACGATTATTGTAATTTGCATTTTATAAAAGAAAAGAAAAAACTTGCTTGCTGTGCTGTGTGCAGATATGAAGCACTTGGGAATTGTCATAACACTCGAGAGCGTTCTACTTCTCTCGTATTCTGCCAACCCCCACGTGCTTTATAACTGCACACAGCACACGCGCGCGTTTTCTATTTCTTCAGAACAATTGTGTTCCGTGTCATTTCTGCCGTTCGCCGGAAGGAAAACGTGATACGTAATCGATATCTCTATTATTAAGAGCAGTGCTCAATTAGGTAGCTAGTTGATTTTTCATTCATCCTTGATTCGTTTATTAAATATAATGGATGGAAGCTTTAGACGATCACTTACGACACGTGGCGTAGCAGAGTTCGTTTTCAACGAAAGAATACTTGCAATAGCCATTCTCCTTGACGTAGCGACAGTTAACGCTTCTCAGCCGATCTTTACGAATCGAGCTTTTCTCGGATTGAGCTAAGGAAATAATAAAATAGATGAACATAAAAAAATATTTGAACTTAAAAAAACACAATCAAATCCAGTGAGAAATACAGGCTTTTAAACAGAACTACGCAGAAAAAACTGGTGCGATTGACACGAGTTTAAAACGTCTGCGCATGCTCTGAATCCGTATGCAAATTAGTCAAAACATAAGAAAATTTGACTTTCAAAGATGCCTGATAAATTGGACTTCACAAAATGCCAAAACTTTAGTGTCCATGTTTGAAACTTAAGGCTAACTCTTTCATATCGTGTTTGTTAATACAGTATCTTGGTCTGACAAAAGTATATTCTCGAACTTTTTTGTATACTTGGAGAAAACAAACATTTATTTTCTCACTCAAACTCTTCAAAATTCTTAGAAAACGTGCTGAAGTGCACGCATGCGCAAACGTTTTTCTCTAGTGTCGGTGCGATTGGCTTCACAAATGGGGTTCCAATTTTATTCTATATCTACTGAACGCAAAAAAGATGATTGACTTCACAAGATCTCACAAAAGGAGGGCTCCTTGAAGTCACGGATAGCTATAGTCTCGCACTTTATACCACGATGAATCGATTTTTTTTAAAAACAAATTTCTTGCGATTTAGCACGCATTTGTCGCCCTGCACAAGGATGACGTTTTTCATGAACTTCATAGTTTTGGCCATTGAAAATTATAAAAAATATATCAAAGGAATGCTTAAAATATTAAAGTATTAATTACCTGCATCAGTAGTTCCTGCAAAAAGGAAAAACGCTAGTCCTAATGTAAGTAGGAACGCAGGGAACTTCATCTTTAACTGCTTCTATATCGAGACGTCTTTTCAAGCCTATTTATACCCTCAAAGCGGAAAAAAAAAGTTTTCTCTTATTTTTTTGGGACGTGATTAATGATTAATTATTTATTGATATATCTATCTGTTTGCCTTTGGAGTTAAAATCTGAGTCTCGTGATTGAGTTGATCTAAGTCAGGGCATGGCTAACTCACAGATCAAACCCTGAAACAACCTCTGGGCTAAACTAAGTCAGGGCATGGCTAACTCACAGATTGAACCCTGAAACAACCTCTGGGCT